AGAGAAATCTAGGAAAATGCCTAGAAATTTGGCTTATGGAAATGAACAGGTAGAGATTGAGAAAGATGGGAAAGAGAAGTGTGAAAAGCGAGCAAGTGTTCTGTTCTGATCTAATAGATAGACCTAATAACTCTTCTTTTTTGAACTGGCCTTTTAAAAATTGAGATATGATTGACATATACCATTGTATTAGTCTCAGGTGTACATAATAATTCTGAACATAAAGCTCCACAAATACAAATATTTACCTTTCCTGGGCTTCAAGATTCTTGGGTAAATTGCTTGTCCAAGAGTATATAGTAGGTGTGCAATAAATACTTGTTAAATCATTATGACTAGCAAATCAACCCTAATATGTATAAAGTTTATAGTTTAAATACAGGGGTCCTAAGAATTGGTGTATATCATTAATGAAGTTTGCATCTTCCCTGATACAGAATGCAGATTATTGGGCCAGAAAGAGCAAGATGTTGAAGGGAGGCTGACTTGGGTATGAAACAATGACGCTAGCTGGGCAATTAACATGATTATAGTTAAGCAATAAATATTTATTGAGATCTGCCATGTGTCAGGCACTTGATTTAGGGGCTTTGAACGAAACAAAGTCCCTGCTTTAGTACAACTCACATTTTAGAGGGGAAAACAGACCATAAAACAATGAATAAATCTAATGGTAATAAATACTATAATGAGAAGGAAGCAGGGTAAGAGGAAAAGGAAAGGGAAATTCTCCTATATTTAAGGTGATCAGGAATGGCCCCTCTGATAAGGTAACTGAGCAGGGACCTGAAGGAAGTGAAGAAATGTTTCACTTGCTAATTGTATGTGTCACTTGCTAATTGTATGGCTTTGAACTAGAGCTGCTATATTACATGCCGTGTGTACTATATATACAGGGGTATAGTATGTATCAAATAAGACCATGTGTGAGTAAATGACTTTTTTTTTTTTAAGCATATTGTCAGTTTTAGGCCAAACTCCCCAGTTGTTATGTTCAAAATACGTATTTTTGTGTGTGTGTTTAGTTTTTTTATTATTATTTTTAATCCTCACTCAAAGATTTTTTCCATTGATTTTTAGAGTGAGTGGAAGAGAGAGGGAAAGACAGAGAGAAATATTAATGTGAGAGAAACACATAGATTGGTTGCCTCCAGCATGCACTCCCTCCACCCCCACCCCAAGGCCCAAGCCGGGGAGGAGCCTGCAACCCAAGTACTTGTCCTTATCAGAATTGAATCCAGGACTCTTTGGTCCACAGACCAACACTCTATCCACTGAGCCAAACCATCCAGGACTATTCAGATTTTGTTATTGATGACTTCGCCAAGGATGTTCTGGAAGTTACAATCTTAGAAGACAAGGATTTGAAAACAAATAGCCAAAAAGCATACTAAAAGCAAATTAATTTTCAGTTAAGATTCCGAGGCTGACTTATAAGATATAGAAATAGGAATGTCAAGTCTCTTGCATAATACATGTACCTTAATATACAGAGTGAGCTATTCTCAGTGGTGCTTATTTTAACTTAGGTAACATAATTTGGTCCAATATTTCAACTTTCCAACAGCTGGATAATTGCTTTAGGCTGAAAAGGAACCAGAGTTATTCTCCCACAGCCTAAATCTTGCAATCTGCTTCAGCTAGTTCGGTTTCCAAATGGCTCAAGGCAGACAGTCCAGCCCAGAACTTTCCCTGCTATAAATATCTCTTCTGATGGGCAGGCTTAAGTGTCTATTGGGCCTGGTGTGAAATGTGCATATGTAAAATCTAGCAGTGTGGGTACTTATGCTCACATATCTCCCTATTTACCTAGCTTGGATTAATCATCCATTTGCATCACAAATCAGGGTAAAACCATTTCATGTTTATGAAACTGGGTTCCAAAGTAATATTAGGGATCCTTTATAGGAAGACAAAGGGCACACATCTCCTTTGGTTCCTGAGATAAAGTCAGATATTAAATATTTATTTTATGTTTCCCTGGTAAAAAAAAATAATAATAATAATATTACTCTGGGAAATGACTGAGAAATCCCATGACTCTTTAGGGTTCTCTACAGTTCTTTATATTTGCATAGTTCTCTCTCTCTTTCGCTTTCTTCTCTTCAAGACAAACATCTTCAAGGATACAGCTAAAATGATTGGCATTATTCTCCCCATCTTCTTCAAAAGCAAACATTTTTACATCCATGGAATGAAAAATGTCCCTAGATCAAAAGCCTTCTTCCTTCAGCTCTAAATTCCCTAAATCTCACTCAGATTTATAATTTATCTAATTATTCAAGTCATATTGCACAAATGAAAGATGTTTCCAAAATTTAAGACCTGGCCAGAAATTATAAACATGGCAATACTGCTGGTACCACAGTGAAAGGTAAAAATAGGATACAGGTCTTTATAACCAATAGGCATTGTATACCATTAAAAATAACAAACTTCTAAAACAAACAAACAAAAAACACCCACATAAATAAAAACCAGCCCTAGCTGGTTTGGCTCAGTGGATAGAGTGTCAGCCTTCAGACTGAAGGGCCTGGGTTGGGTTCTGCCTGGGTTGCTGGCTTGATCCCCAGTGTGGGACATGCAGGAGGCAGCTGATCAATGATTCTCTTTCATTATTGATGTTTCTATCTCTCTCTCCCTCTCCCTTCCTCACTGAAATCAATAAAAATATTTAAAGAAGCAAATTTCTTCAGCTAACTCAGAGATTTGCCAATTTATTCATCATTGCTTCTTTCAGATATTGAGGGGAGGGGCATGTACAAATCATTATTTTCATCTTGTGACTAAAGAGCTCACTACTTGTAAAGTTTTCCCAAAAGCAGGAATAGGATATATAAAAACAAGTTCTATCAGAAAGAATGAATAAGAAGTCAAAGTATTCCTTGAAATGATATGTGAGAATATTTCTGCCTCCTTTAAGTCACCTGAATGAAAAACATGTGTAGCTCACAGGAATCTTAAATAAAGGCTAGGGAACTAAAAAGACAAAAGTTTTGTGGGGGGTTTTTTATTACATCAATATCTCACAATTTGGTCAAGTCAGATCTAACCTAGAATTTTAATCCCATGACTCCCTAAACTTACAAAATGTAGAAATTAACAGTGGTGCAGCCGAGCTTCTAAAACTTACCAATAATAACCAATTTCAGAGGATATGGAGGCATAAGAAAAATTGGCACCAGTTGTACCTGTAGCTTCAGTCTTCACAACCCATATTCATTCTGTCGCTGTACTTGAGGTGGCTGAAGGTTGGTAGCTGTACATTTTTAGATTTTATGAGTTTCTTGTATGATTCGGGACCATTTCAGAAATCTATAACAGACATCCTATTCAAACTAACTTAAGCCAAAGAGAACTTATTAATCTACTTGAGGCCTGCTGCACAACATTTGTGCACGGGGGGGGAGGGGGTCTTCTCAGCCCAGCTTGCACCCTCTCACTCCTTACTGCCTGCCTGCTCTCTGCTCTTTACCGCTCACCTTGCTGCTCCTTAGCACTGACGCGCAGGCGGGAGAAGCTCCTGCCACCACGGCTGCCCTCGCCAGCCA